ATAAAAAGTTTCAGCCATCTTCTCTGTTCGGAGCATACGCCAGACCCACGACGGCTCTCCAAGCCCGCCCCCACCCCATGTGCAACCCGCTTGACTTCCAAGTGCCGGAAAGGAGCCTGAGCCCAAGCTCCAGGCTTTTTGCTTTAGCCACACAAAAAAGTTTTGTAAAAAATTCAAACAGTTTGTTTTTCCAAATAAAAATAATGTATAGCCCCAGCTCGATAAGAAACGCACTCCGAGGCCGTCCTTAAGTAAAAGCGCTTGATAACAAATTGCCTGTGCTAACTGCTATTTTACTGTTGAATTTTTTTTTTATTGTTGCTTCAGCAGTGCAATTATGGTAATAAGCCTGAGAGGACGGTACGCTGAAGTATTGAATGCGACAGAGAGAATACTCAATAAAATGTTAATCTTACCTGAAAATTGGAAACAAACAACCTTATTAGTATTTATGAATATGGCATCTACAACATATTTCTTAAGGGGAAGATATACGTGCAATAGCTGTTCTCTTTCCAATGGGCTGGGCTATTTTCATAGATTTCATAGACATTAGGGCTGGAAGGGACCACGGAAGATCATCGAGTCCAGCCCCCTGCCATGTCATGGTTAAGTTCAAGGTGACTATTAACCCCTGCTGCTAAACTAGAGGCTCAGAGCAGGAAAAAAAAGCAGTCGTACTTAGCACAGAAAAGACTTTCGTCCTACAAGTCTTTTCCTTGCAAGAAGCATGACACTAAGTCTGATAGCCACACTACCAAATAAGAAGAAGGAAGCAGAGAGGAGCTGAGTGACTCAACTTAGTATTAAGGGGCTGCTCCTGAATGCACGTGGCTCTTTAACCAGCCCTCGGTCTGCTACTTTGGTTGCAGCCAAAGCAGCCCAACTTGGCCAGAGCTTAAGATGCCCAGGTGACCGCTCAGTCACCGCTGCAAAGGATTTAGCTCTAGGTGATTAATGCCAGCAGTGTTTTAAGACTCCCGTTTTTAAGCCTCTCTCTTTCAAATCAAACGAGGAAGGGAGACTGGCTGGTTTCATTTCACAGATCTGTATTTTGAATAGAGGAACGACAGTCTTGGGGTGATGGTGCTAAATTTGGAGTCAGGAGGCCTAGGTGCTAACATGGGCTTTGTCACTGGCTCACTCTTATTTAGTCTGCAGAAGAGAAGACGGAGGGGGATTGAATAGCAGCATTCAAGTCCCTGCAGGAGGGCTGCAAAGTGGATGGAGCTGGGCTGGTCTCAGCGGGCGCAGACGACAGAAGGAGCAATGGGCTCACGTTGCAGCAAGGGAAGTTGAGGTTGGATATTAGGAAAAACTTTCTCACCATAAAGGTAGTAAAACACTGGAACCAGTTTACCTAGGGAGGTGGTGCAGTCTCCATCCTTGGAGGTGTTGAAGACCCAGGTAGACAAAGCCTTGGCTGGGATGATGTAGTTGGGGCTGGTCCTGCTTGGAGAAGGGGGTTGCACTAGATGTGACCTCCTGAGCTCCCTTCAACCCTCATTGTCTATGATTTTGTGAGTTTGAGCAAGCCTCTTCATTTCTTCCTACTGCTGTTCCACTTCTCACCCTTGGCTATCTTCTCTGTTTTGACTGTAAGCTTTTCCAGGCTTGACCAGCCTCTCACTATGCACATGCCTTCCAGGGAGGCCGATTTTGCTTCAGACCACTCCAATACAAGTCACCCCCCAGCTCTTTCATAGCCGTCCTGCGCATAAATCATGTTGGTGTTTGGACCCTCACTTTTCCCAACTGTAAAATGAGCATAACACTTTCCCTGTCTCAGAAGGGTGTTGTGAGGATAACTATGATCATGATCTGGAGCTAGACAGTTCTGGCCCAAAGTTGCAACACAAAGAGTTTGCGAACGCTGAAAAATGAATCATTAAATCTGGGCCCAAAAACCCCCCAAAAATGGGTTTGCTGGAAAGTTAAGAAAGAAGCAAGAAGAAAATTCGAGGCCAAATTGGTGTACAAAAAATTACACAACATGTCCATTTTTCAATCTGAGCTCCCTGAATATTGTTTTTGCCCTTTAAAAAAAAAAACTAGACTTCTGTAACCTTTAAGGATTTCATCCGCAGAGGCTGGCGGTATTGCTAGGACCATCAAAACCGGGATCGTGCGCCATTAAGTTCTCTCATGGGTAACCAAAAATTGTCACTGAACCCCTGCGTGGAAATGGAGCCGTCTAGGAAATGTTTCTATGAATATTAAGAACAGGGGAAAACCCAAGCAACTGTCCGTCAAGGCTTGGGATTCCCAAAGTGCTCAGAGCAGACTCATACCAAGTGAGCCACAGCGTTTTAGTCAAAACACACCAGGATTTATTGGTGCTTTCTTGAGCAACCACTATAATTTATGGCCATTCGCAGTCAGAGCAAGACTTCTGTTCTTAAGGGCATGAAAGGAAGCAGGTTTGAAATGCATAGAGAGTCGAAGAGTCATGAGGTACCTGCTATGTGCATGCAGAAGAAATACAAAATGCAAATGAAACCCACCCCCACACCCCCCCAAAAAAACTCCGAGTTGCAAAAATCATTCACACTCTACTACTGAACTGACACGAAGTGGGTTCCCGCTGGAACAGGAAGGAAAGACATCTGAGCCCATTTCCCAGCTCTGTTTCCATTTGGCTGCATGAGCCTCCAGACTCCCCATACATAGACCTGTCTAAAGGAGAAGCTTCCTCCTATGCAATAGGTAATAGGGGGTTTTGGTTGCAGCCGTGACGGTCGAAGGACATAGGCAGATGTGTAATAAGCACTTTGAGATCCTCGGTCACCACGTGCGTGCAATGAACCGTAGGGAAGTTGGGCTGCAAGGTCCCATCGGAGGTCACATCCCGTCCAACCTCCTGCTGGAGGCAGGATGAGCCCTCCCCAAAGCATCCCGGACAAACCCACCGTCGAACCGCTTTGTAAGACAACCACCAACCCTGACACAAGATATAACACCCCAACCTGCCACAGGGAAAGCAGGGGAACCGCAGCAGCCGACGTCCTGCTTCTGTGAAAGGCTGTTAACATACTCTCAAGAAGTCCCACGTAGAGGCAGCACCTCCTGCTATTGAGAAAGGCAATGCATACCCATCTGACCATAGGGTAAAACTCCTTCCTGACCCCAAATCTGGTGTTGGTCTGCAAGACCCTCCAGCTTGGGTCCCAGCAGCAGCTCCATCACCATCCCCAACCATGGGCTGCAGCCTACACCCAAAGCTTTGAGGATGGCTTAAAAACACCCTGACATGGGGGTCAGGAGCAACCTGCAAAACCCAAAAGCCTGGGAAATACCCACAGGCATCGCTGCACCTAAATCACCCCTGACCAGTGGCTGTCCAGCCTCTCCTTGAACACCTCCAGTGATGGAGAGCCCACAGTTTCCCAGGACATTTCTTCCCCTGTGGGTCTGCAGACTCTCCCTCCCAGGGGTCCACAAAAGATGCCTACAATCAATGAAAAATATGTGAACACCCACCCTTATCATTCAAAGAGGTCCACACCTCCATTTGAAATTTTTTAGGGATCCGCAAATGAAAAAAAAGGTTGAAAAGCACCGCCCTGGAGAGATGCCAGGACTTGTGGATGTTGGAGACAGGGATTAGAGCATGCAATCTCTCTCCTCACCCCAACACATCAGGGAGTGCACTATTTAAGCCTTCCAAATCCAAAGAGTTGAGGTTTCTGCTATTCCAGGTACTCCACTCCATTACTACATCATGGAGGGACACGAAGCCTAACACAATCTCCATCCTCTCCCGTTATGACCTCTCAGAAGGGCCCAGGCTCCCTGCATCTCTCAAGCGTCCCTCAAGGACACCATGCAACTCCCAAGAGAACAAGCAAATGGTAAAGGACCTGAGCGAGCAACCAACCCCTTTGGGATTTGACTCCCATCCGTTCGCCATTGCTTTCCATACAGAAACGGTGCAAGTGCACAAACAAGTCCAGCTTTGCCCCTGCTGTTAGCACACGATGGAGGAGAGCAAAGACGACAGGGAAAAAGGACCAGAAGTGAAAAACGAAACCCAAATCCATCTCCCCTGCCACTAGAGATGGATCGGGGAGTCAATAACCAGGTCTCCGTGTCAGGAGCTCAGATAATCCAGTGTTTGGTGCAGTTTGGGCAGCAGGTCTCCCACCCCAGTGAGACGGATGCGAGTCGCACACCGACAGGGACGTGAAACACTGCTTAGTGGATCACAGAAGGCAATCAAAACCCAAGACAGGTAGAAAGGAGTCAGTACAGGGATAAACCCCTGCTTTTATCCCAAATATATTATGGTGCACACAAATGATTTGAGGTCTGAGTGCATGATGGATGTGCTTACAATCCAGGGGAGCAAGATGCACTCCTTAGATATGATAGAAGAGCTCTCGTTATGTCTCCCACCAGAGCAGGGAGACCCACAGGCATGCAAGTATTACCCTATCCACTGAGTAGGATCTTTCTAGCGGCCCTCCAACTCCTAATCCCCCAGGACAACCTCGCCAACCTGTTGCAGAAATTAAAGCAAACGCGGTGAGCCCACGAACACGCTCCGCTGGTCACCCCGCTGCCGTTTCCAGCAAGGCTGGTTTGAGGGTGTTAGCTGGTTGAGTGTCTTACCCCGGACAGGCAGGAGACAGACTACCGCAAGGCTGCTTCAGGACAAAGCCGCATCCACTGGGCAGCACGTTCAATGTCCTCCAAACCGTGGGATTTCTACAGCAAGAAAAGGAAAAGAGAAGGATCGTTTTTATTGTATTCATTAAGTAGCACAGGGTGCCTGAAAAGGCTCCGACAGGCTGCAGGCTCCTCTACCCCATTACTGATGATTAACTTTAAAACAAAGCCCCAGAAACCAATACCAAAAAAACACAGATACACTATCTCCTTTCTCTGCCCGTCTGTGGTGTAACCTGGCATTCCTCAATAGCATCCACGAGAGGCCAGCTGATAAAGGGAGCTAAAACCTGCCCCTAAATCTGCAAAATGCCTCGTCAGAGCTATTCCCAATGCACTTCAGCAGAACAGGTTCCCACGGGGTATAAAGGAGCGGATACGGTTTCACTCTTCGTTGCGACACAATTCGTTTCACCAACTCCAAAGATGATGTCCTTGCACCCAAATATGCAAGATCACAGTAGAGACCCCCTGGAAATCAGGACTGAGGGAACCCCGAGCACCACCAGCTCGCTTCCCATTGTGACTTAAAGACATGAGCCCACTATGCCTGAGGACCGTGCACTCGTCCCCGGCCCATTCACTCCATCGCCCACCCGCTTCCCTCCCACGCTCCGTCCATCACCGAGGTCTCATTTGAGTGGTTTGTTCTTCTTTTGCAATTCTTCTCCCCTCCCTTCAGCCCTTCGCCTTGCCACTGATCATGGCTCTCCGGCTGATGCCAACAGTTCAGCAGACGGCCCAGCGGCTGTCAGCACAGGAAGGTGGAGTGCCCCTTTTTTAGCACAGATTGGGTAACAGAAGTGTTTTTCCAGGGCTGGTGGTTGAAGACGAATAGCTGCTGTAACAATGCCCCCCAACAGTGCATAGTAGCTGCAGAAGGCATCGAATAATATGTTTTTACACCGAGCCTTTCATCTTAACCGACCCCGCGGTGTATGGCCCGTTCAACAGGGTACTTAACCACACAACTTCCAAGCACGTGAGCTGCTCAACATCTTAAATAACAAGACAGACAGGATCATACAATCACAGAGAAGTGGGGCTGGAAGAGGCCTCCCCAGGCCATCTAGTGTAACCCCCTCCCTGAGACAGCATCATCCCTATGCAAACCACCCTGGAGCATCCCTATCTAAACCACCCTGGAGCATCCCTATGCAAACCATCCCGGAGCATCCCTATGCAAGCCACCCTGGAGCATCCCTGTGCAAACCATCCCGGAGCATCCCTAGGCAAACCATCCCGGAGCATCCCTAGGCAAACCACCCTGGAGCATCCCTATGCAAACCATCCCGGAGCATCCCTATGCAAACCATCCCAGAGCCTCCCTATGCAAACCATCCCAGAGCATCCCTATGCAAACCACCCTGGAGCATCCCTATGCAAACCATCCCGGAGCATCCCTATGCAAACCATCCCAGAGCCTCCCTATGCAAACCATCCCAGAGCATCCCTATGCAAACCACCCTGGAGCATCCCTATGCAAACCATCCCGGAGCCACCCCGGAGTATCCCTAGGCAACCCCCCCGGAGCCTCCCTATGCAAACCACCCTGGAGCATCCCTATGCAAACCATCCCGGAGCCTCCCTATGCAATCCACCCTGGAGCATCCCTGTGCAATCCACCCTGGAGCATCCCTATGCAATCCACCCTGGAGCATCCCTATGCAAACCATCCCGGAGCATCCCTATGCAAACCATCCCAGAGCCTCCCTATGCAAACCATCCCAGAGCATCCCTATGCAAACCACCCTGGAGCATCCCTATGCAAACCATCCCACAGAGCATCCCTATCCAAACCACCCAGAGCATCCCTATCCAAACCACCCCGGAGCATCCCTATGCAAACCATCCCGGAGCATCCCTAGGCAAACCACCCCGGAGCATCCCTATGCAAACACCCCGGAGCATCCCTATGCAAACCATCCCGGAGCATCCCTATGCAAACCATCCCAGAGCCTCCCTATGCAAACCATCCCAGAGCATCCCTATGCAAACCACCCTGGAGCATCCCTGTGCAAACCACCCGGAGCATCCCCATCCAAACCATCCCGGAGCATCCCTATGCAAACACCCTGGAGCATCCCTATGCAAACCACCCGGAGCATCCCCATCCAAACCATCCCGGAGCATCCCTATGCAAACACCCTGGAGCATCCCTATGCAAACCACCCTGGAGCATCCCTGTGCAAACCACCCGGAGCATCCCCATCCAAACCATCCCGGAGCATCCCTATGCAAACACCCTGGAGCATCCCTATGCAAACCACCTGGAGCATCCCTATCCAAACCACCCTGGAGCATCCCTATCCAAACCAGCCCAGACAAATCCATTGTCTAACCCTGACACCAACACCTTGACATGTAGCAGGAAAGGGAGAAGGGGGCAATCAGCAAAGCCCAGAGGCATGAGAAATACTCATGGTAGAACATAGGCATAGTTATACCTAGATCATCTCCAAACAGGGGCCATCCAACCTCTTCTTGAACACCTCCAGTGATGGAGAGTCCACAACTTAAGGAGGCCACATCCTGACAGGCCTGAGAGCCTCAATACCCACAGACTTTCAAGGCCGTTAATGGTGACCTGCGTATGAAATGGATGCTGCAATCCCTGCACCCCTCCATGGAAATGCATCCACTTCTATGGCAGGCTACGGCAGCTGCTTAATACCATAAAGCGGTATTGAATAACAGTCCAGGATCGCACGCCAAGAAGACTACTGCATGCAATTGAAACTGCCAAGGGATTAAGTCAGGTCAAATGTAATTACACAAACTGGAGCCGGGCCAGGACACTGGTTGATTTAGGAAAATTAAAAGAGGTGTTTAAAAGTTAGAGAGAGTTCTTCCTCCGTTAATTATTGGTGAGTCAATCGCTGAAGCCACCGTGCTCTGCAAGACAGTCTGCGAGTGAAAAATGAGGCATAAACTTAAAAGGCATTAGAAGTGATTAGCTGTAGCCTTTGTTCTCCCCGGCACATCTCCACAGCCGAGCTCGCTCCTCTTGTACATTAAAGACTTTCATGTCTGCGCTGAAAAGTGGCCCGTGTTCCTTTGATACTTTGGGGAGGAAGTGTTTAAGTTTACAAATGTCACGCTGTAAGAAGCGACTACACATGAACAAAGGAGCCCGTGCGTGCCCCCGACACGCCAGAACCAGCTGTCAATCCATTTATGCTAGCGCCTGGGGTTCCCACCGCCAGCGCGGGAGCAGCGGCACGGCAAAGCAAATGCCGACGCGGAGCGCCGCTTGTCCCGTAATTGTGGGGTGCCCTTAAGGCACGTAAACGGATGCACAATTTCAGACGCAATCGGGAGCGGATGGGGAAGGAAGCCCTCGGTTATGGCCGGCGAGAGGAAACACTGCTGTAAAGGAGGCAAGGAGAAAAGGGCAGTCTCAGGGTCAGGCCAGCTGGATGTCACCTTGGCAGGCTGGAGTCTAGCAGAGTCCCCGCAACAACGTCCCCACCGGACGCACGGCACTTAACAGGTGGTCACTAGTTGTGTATTCCCTACCTAGCTTGACACACCTGGGAAAAACACCCAGCAGCGCTCACAACTGATGTGGCCTGGCGCTGTGCTTCAAATGCATCAGGTGGAAGTGCTAAGTCCTCTGCTAAATCAGGCGGAGTCTCAAACCGGGCACCCAAAACTAAAAGGTGCATCCATCCGTTCCACGTCTCAAACACGGAGGTCACGCTCCCGAGCACGGTCAAGCAAGGCAGCATGAAAATAAATTGCATAGCGTTCCCGCAGGAAAAAGAAATTAACTTCTTTTACTCAAGAAAAATATGAACTAAAGCACCAGTTTGCATGACGTGGGTAATGAGGAATAATAAATAACCCCCCATCCATTCTCCAAGTCCCATCTGGGCTGGATGCTGAGAGGGGGGCCTGCAGA